ATGGACAGCTGTCAGATACCTGCCTGGTAAGGCAGTGGGGAGGGCCCAGAACAGACTCAAAGTGGCAGAGCCGGTGGGGAGAGTCCCAGGACCAACCTGATACCACTTTCTGCCCAGTTCTGTCCTGGTCTCACCCCAGATCCCTCGCCCACCAAACATCAGCCAGCCAGCCACTGTGCATGTGCAGCCTCATTCCAGTGGCTTGGCTGCAGAGTCCAAGATGGGCCCTATCCCTTGTTTCCGTGGTGGCTGCCGGTGCAGTCCAAGAGTGACACACAGAGGCTGCAGGGCAGTCCCTCCTGAGGACACGGCCAGGGCCCCCAGCCTTCCAACTGGAGCAGGGCTGCCTTGCAGAACCTGGTTCAGTTGCTGCCTTGGGTATGGCCACCAAGCCATCAGGATGAGCAGAGTTCCTCCACTGCTCTCAGAACCAGCAGGGATCCCTGGTGCCCCTCCTCACATGCGTGTACCCCCTTTCATATTTGACCAGCCCACAGGCCCTCAGCACTCCCGAGACCCTCTTGCAACACACAATCTCCACCTGGGGCCTCAGTTGCCCCTCCCCAACTTCCCCCTCAAGACTTCTACCAGAACCTGGCCCTGGCCCTCTCCAGCCTCAGTTCTCTCTCATCCCCTAAGTGGTGGGTGACGCCCATCTGTGACCTGCAGGGGTACGTGCTGTGCCCTGAGGCCATCCTGCAGGTGAGTGTTCAGGACTGGTGGGCCCAGTGGCAGCAAGGTCATGCACCCTGGTCTCTGAGAGCCACCATCCCCTGCCTGATGCCCTTGTAGACATCAGGGGCACCTGGGAGTCTGTCACTGGATGCAGCTGCTGCCTTGCACCCCTCCTCCCAGGACTGGTTTTCCCTGCATGGCTGGGTGCATAGTATAGGAAGTTCATCTCCTGGATGTTACAACGGAAGTGGGGTATGGTATGTTCCTGAACAGGGGTCCAGGACACTCATGCCCTGGAAATACTTGCAGGGATGGGCGGGGAGGCAGTGGTGCTTCCTGAACTGCTCCTTAAAGGAAGTTGAAAGGCAGAGCTGATCACCCCATCACTGATGTTTTCACTGTGGTACCTCAGGATGTTCTTTGGAAAGCACGAGAAGCTTCTAGAGCATCCATGAGACACAGCATTAGCCCTTGTTGTGAGTCTGCCCTGAACTTTCTGAAGCTGCTTCTTGCTGTCAAGCTATTTCTGGAATACAGCATCCTTTGCTTAGTTTCTGGGGATGACAGGTTAAGGTGCAGAGTCCTTGACCTTCGCTCAGTCAGCCACAACACTCAGACAACCCCATGTAAATGACAGCTTGTACCTGCAAGTTGGGGAGCTCAGGGTGCAACCCGTGGAGGAGGTGAGTCCATCAGCTTCTTCAGGGAACTGCAGCAGAGGCCTTCAGAGAAAGAGAAACCAAGTTCCAAGGGTTTACAACAACCAGTCGCTGTCTCATGCATAGGCATTGATTTCAGTTCAACTTCACTTCTAAGGCAAAATATTCAACTCTCCCTGTTCTTCCTGAGGTCTCTTTAACGTTTAATGGAGTGTAAGTCTTATAAAGGTAACGGGTCATAAAAAATGATGAAGGGTGCTGGTATAGCGACCCATTTAGTAATCTGTAACAAAAACTTTAAGGGAAAAAAAATATTCATGCTGTGGGCATTTTTCTGCAGGTATGTGGGTCGTTTGCCAACTCACCCAGTAACAGCAAACACCAGGACAAGCACAGTTGGACCTGAAGTGTTCCGTGCCATGCTCACATGGTTGGCAGAGGGTGCCTGAGAGCAGCTGTCGAGGTGATCCAGATGGGCATGATGCAGCAGCAATGAGCTCTCAGAACATGTTCCGGAGGGCGCTGTGAGTTCTGCCTGGAAGCACGGATGGACACACACGCTCTGCCCCCAGGAGACCCTGAGCCTGCTAGGAAACACACATACCATCTTGAGCCTTGCCAGCTTTTGCTCAAAGCTGTTCCTTCAGTCCCTGCTCTCCACAGTGTGTTGATTTCTGTTCGGGAGGGTACAAAAGCACAGTCACACTCGCCAAGGAAGAGCTGACCAACTGGCACAAGGCTAAGGGGGCGTGGCTTCCACACCGGGCACTAGCCCTAATGAAATGCAAACACTTTTACCGAATCTCTTTTGTTCTCAGCTGCTCAGGTTTTCCCAGCTGAGCAAAGCAAGGGTTTGCATGCACTCATTCACTTGGAGAGTACTGCCAGTGTCCACCGTGGGAAAGGCTCTGTGCCAAGTGGGCAGAAGAGCAGGAGTGGTTCAAACACACAAGGACAAGCTACGCCAAATGATGCTCTCCATGCAGTGCTGCAGGCAGCTGCAGAAAGGGCAGCTGCAGCGGGGCTGGCAGGGCTCCACTCCAGCCTCCAGCCTGCTGCCCGGAGAACTGGGCTCTGCCTGGGCACAGCTGGAACCCACAGAGGCACCCTGGGGAGCCAGTACTCCTGGCAGCGAAGCTCCCCATGCTGAGCTCGGGGAGACACTTGACTGGCACAGTCCAGACGCCTGTCAGCCCAGTGCCTCCTGAGAGCGGACCACTAGGGGGCACTGCCCGTGCTGGGCAAGGAGCGTTTGAGTCAGGCATTTGTGGGACCGAGGCATGGCCTCAGGAGCTCAGTGAGTTCTTAGGAATAGACCTGGAAAACCCAGGAGAAGGGCACGTTGTCCTCCCAGGGATGACTCCAGGTGGAAATGGCTACCGCCCAGACCCACCCAGTTACAAGGGCCTTCTTCCAGGGGGACAAAGAAGTCATTTCTTTATCCAGGTCAGGTGGCAAAGTCAAGCAATTCAGGAACTCCCACATGGGCTCTGAAAGCCACCTGACCAGTGGGAGCTGAACCTGGGACGCAGATGTGCACTACACGGGGGCAGCACCGAGGGAACAGCTGGATGCCCTCGATCCTTAACCACGGCCGGTAGGCCTGAGCCCACCACAGGTTCCTCTGCTTCGGTGAAAAGCAGAGACTGATCCCAGACTTCGTCAGGGTCTGCCATGCCAAACAGGGACCCTCTGCAGCTTGGGGCGCCTCTGGGTCTCATCACAGAAGAAAGTTGCTGGACTCAACTCGGATCCCCAGTGTAAACGTGGCCATCTCTCATCTGATTCATAAAATACCATCCTCCCCCCACCCCCCCCAGGAAAGTGAGTCAAATCTCTATGACTTAAAACAATTCCTTGGATCCAGCGCAAGTAGCCTAGCAGTTAAATCCTCACCTTGCATGTGCCAGGATCCCACATGGGTGCCGATTCATGTCCCGGCTGCTCCACTTCTCATCCAGATCCCTGCTTGTGGCCTAGGAAAGCAACATAAAGGACAGTCCAAGGCCTTGGGACCCTGCACCCCCATGGGAGACCCAGAAGCTCCTGGCTCCTGCTTTGGATTGGCTCAGCTCTGGGACTTGCAGCCATTGAGGAGTGAGCCAGTGGACGGAAGGTCTTCCTCTCTATCTTGCTCTGTAAATCCGCCTTAAAAAATTTACTAACAAAATGGAAACAAAAAGCTTCCAAGTGTGTTAGATGCTGAAGCCATCCAAGATTTAATTAAAATGTATTTATCGTAATTACAGATAATTACAGGATTTAAAACTATTTTCTCCATATACTTTTAAAAAACGTTTTTTATTTATTTAAAAGACCAAGATTGAAAAACTTTCACTTACTGGCTTACTCTCCAAATATGTACAACATCCAGGCCTGAATCAAAGACAGGAACTACTTGTGCCACCATCTCAGGGCTATCAGAAGGATGGGTTCGGAAAGCAGGGGCAGGGACAGGGGCAGGGGCAGAGGCAGGCCCTAGCCTACGCACTCCAAAATAGGAGTCCCAAAAGAGCCTTCACCTGCTGAGCCCCAGCATCTGTGATGAATTTTTAAATGTCTTACCTGAGAAATCAATGATTTTAACCTGATCATTTGCTTATAATGGCTTACAGGTCTTTAAAGCTGATAAATCAATCAGTTTGAAGGAGCAACAGTTACACGGCACAGAACCCTTCAGGCTCCAGTGGGTTAGTGAAGCAGAGTGGGCTCGTGGGACCACTTAGGACAGGAACAGGCTGCACACTGCAGTAGCAAGGCTGGGGTTCCGGGTGTGTTCCCACTCTGAGGACCTCCTCCATGTGTGCAAATCCCCTCAGCCTTTTCAAGTGCAAGTCACTTAGGACTTACATGCAGCACGACCTTCAGGAAAAGGAAACCTACTTAAGGGGACAAGCCACTGCCTTCTGACACCTGCACCTCCTACTGCAACGCCTGGGTTCAGGTCCCTGCTACCCAACTTCCAAGCCAGCTTCCTGTTGGCATGCACCCCAGGCAGCAGCAGGTCAGGGTTCAAGCACTCGGGACCCCGCTAGCTTCACAGGAGACCCAGACAGAGCTCCTGGCTTCTCCTGAGCCAGTCCCCAGCTGTTGTGGGGAATAAAGGGGTGAACCAGAGGATGGCAGAGCTCTTTCTGCCTTTCACATAAAAGTGAAAATTGAGCTACTAACAACCCTAACACTGGTCCTTCCAGGACTGCACTGCTTCTGCACAAGATGTGCTCCTCCACCTCCGGCACCTGCATTTGCCCCATGTGGACACAGCTCTGACATCACACAGGTGACCTACTTCATGGAATAAGCTGGGAAGCCTTTCTTGTAACATATTTTCCAGTTGGGGAAAACATAATATGCTATACTATTTATCATGCTGGAAGAAGGACAAGCTCAGTGTCCTCAGGCCGTGGCCCTGACTCCCCTGCTGACTGACTGGCAGACACACTCAGGAGCCCCACTGTTGGCAACACGCCCACGTCTGCCTAGGGTGCTGCAGTTCCTCCTTCCGTCCCTCCTCACCCTGTCACTTACGCACAATGAGTCGGACTACACGTGTGTCACATTCAGAAGTGTGACACTGAAGTCACTGTACGCTGATAAACTAGCTGCGATGCCTTGTTTTGCCTGCACCACACACCTTGTCTTTGCAAGTCTGAGGCCTGTCCTCAGGCAGGCGTCCAATACTGCCCGAGACGCTTCAGGGTCCCCTGGACTCACTGGAGGCCACGAGACGGTACTATCTGCGGTGTGGCTGGTGGAACCTCACCATCAGGGAACGAAAGCGCTGTTGGGTAAGACAGGGCTCTGTCCATGCACAGGTTGCAGAGTAAAGATGGAGCCGAAATAAAACACAATTCCAACGTATTTTAAACCAGACTTAACTTTTTTTTTTTTTAATTCAAATTGACCCAAAAGCAAAACTTACATTACAAAGGAAGAACAAAATGCATTATGATAGAACACACTAGGAAGTTACATAAAAGGTAAGTCTGTGGGCAAATGGCCTCATCCCAACCACATCCCGGGCTGCTGGGCAACCCTGTGGGCTAAGCAGGCAGCGTGGTTCCCAGGGGTCCACACTGGAGCTTACACCGTGCTCACTGCAGGAGCATCTGCTCGCTCCTGCCAGGGCTCTGGCCCGGCAGGACTGAAAATGAACTGACGTCAGTCAAGTCCTCCCAACCAACGAGCACGGGTTATTCTGTAGTAAACAGTTTAGCAATATGGGAATTAAATAATCTAAAAAAAAAAACCACTCTTACTCTGCTGTACATTTATAAACACAAATATTTACAAAAAAAACAACACTACTAACAACCACCTTGTTTTCAAAAGATGAGGTCTGTAGTTCATCAATGATAATCTTTTATGAGCTGGTTTCTTTGGTTCACTTGCCAAATATATATTTTTTTAATAAAGATTTAGTAATAGGCTTAAATAATAAATTTAAAAAAGAATACAGCAAGGAATCAATAACAAGTCTGATAACATTGTGAAAATTTTAGTCAAGACTCTGGAAAAAAAACCAATCAGTTAATTTTCTCAAAATGCCTGTTCTTACTCATTTTGTGACCACAGACTATTTCTCCGCTAATCCACTGCCAGTGGGAGCCTGCAGGTGCAGCACCCAGAGCCCACCAGTGACCCACCTCAAGACCCTTTAGGAACTGTGAAATACGGTATGTGATTGGGATTTTATTAACAATGACAAAAACAACAAAAAATAAAACATTCTTTTTTAAGTTTCCAGAGAAATTAAACCTCAAACAATAAATAATGGAATTATATACTTCTTCATTAAATAGAAATTTTCAATTCCAGGAAGAGCTCTCATAATTTTTTTTTTTTTTCTGAATCACAGCAGCAATACAGAAGAAAAGAATTTACCTTAATCTGATCTTTTCCCTTGGAATTCCCTGACTCTAACACAGTGACTAAGCCTAAGTGTAGAAACCTTCGGAAATGGTTGGGCGAGGGGTCTGGTCCCCTGCACCGGGGGAGGCTATGCTACTGCGCACCTTGTGTGGGAAGGCGCCCTGTGCAAAAGTCAACAACAGCGTGTGGGCCGTCCCCGTGGGGAGCTTGTGGTTAGTGCTACGGATGCCCACACGTGGGCCCTGCCCTGGGGGGTGGTGCAGAGGACCCTGCCCCAGCTCAGCAACGGTGTTCCCGTGGGAGTCTGGAGAGGGATTCTGGGAGGTGTGGGACACATCACCCTTTCTGGTCCTCCCGCATTCAGCCAGAGTTTGAGCGTGATCATCAAACTGGGCACAGGGAACCAGTTGCCTGCAGGAGTGGGGGAATCCCGCCAGTAGCTCATCTGTCCTGAAAGCTGTGTGCTTCCTGGACATTCTGCAGCCAAGAGGATGGGCCCTGGGTGGCAGAGGATGCTCCTGGGGGAATCGGTATCAACTTGAGAACTCAGGGCCAGAAGCTCAGAGCATGTGTACTGAGATGCTCTTTACCTTGTAACTGTCTGATGAACAGACCTGTTAATGGCATGTGGATTTCTGGAAGTTTCCCAGAGAAGCTGAGGAACAACCCTGGGGATGCTGGAGGAGGATCTTCTGCCACCAGTGGTGATGAGGGGTCGGCAGTTGCCACGCCATGGAGGGCAGCCTCGTGGGCATCTGATGCCGCTGTGGCCTTGCCCTCATTCACTCCCACTCCAGCCTACGCCCACTTCAGCAGCAGGCTTGCCCCATCCACAACACAGATCTCTTGGAAGGCCTCGCTGTCTGTGAACTTCAGATAGACAGGCTACGTTTAACTCACTCATGGGAACTAGCTGGACTTACAGATATGTGCCTGTGAGAGGTTTTGTTTTTAAAGTTGGAAAAGGGAAGAAAACAAAAATCCCCATTATGTTATTAAACCAGTAAAGTTAGATGCTTTAACAATATTTTGGGCTTTTTTTAGGGCACACTCTAACATCGGGACAGGAAATGTTTTGCTTAAAGGGAAGTTAAAAAGGACAAAGCTTCGAATGGAAATTGCAACTGACATCCTGGGGTTCTGCTACGAGAATTCCAGTGGCAGTCCCGGTCCTTGCAGGCGTGTCGGAGCCGGCTGTGGAATGATGCCTACACACATCGGAGAGCGTATTGCACTGGAGGCACTGTTTTGCAAACAGAATACACTGGCTTTATAAAGTTATTTTTTCTTTATCGTTAATTTTTTTAAAGCACAATTCAACTAGAGAGAGACAAAAGTTAAGACACAAAATCTCAGGGTAGTGTCCTACAGCTGTTAAAGAACAACACCAACAACAACAACAAAAAAATAAGTTAAAAACCAGAGCACATCCGAAAGGGAGCAGCGGTACTGGACGGACGTCATCCGTAAGCTACAGGAATGAGGCAAAAGAACAGAGTGAAACAGCCGGCCGTCCTCGTGAGAAGCGACTGAGCTGACCGCGGTACCGGACGATGTTCCGGTGGCATTCTCCAGTGTAACCCAGGCCCCACTCCCTGCCCCGGCCTGGGGGAGCCGGGCCTCCCAGCGCGAACAAGCATCCTGCTGCTTTCAGGGACCGTGCTCACCGACAAAAGGATCAGTGTGGAAAGGGTCAATCTTCTCCAAACCCGCTTGTGTCATTTAACCAAAAAAAAAAAAAAAAAATCCCAAAGAACTTTTTTATTTTCTAAAATGCAACATTGGATAGAAGGATTGGACCTCTTAAACTTGGACCAAGAAAATCAAATTAAGACCTTCAAGAAAGTGGGGTCTGTGTGTGTGTGTGTGTACATATACATAAAAAAAAAAATCCCTCCCTTACAATGAAAACCAAACAAACAGAAAACCTAACAGCGTATGCCTGCTTTCTGACTTTCACAGCAATCAGAAATTGCATAGGATATACTTTGTGCAAGGCAAAAAGCCTTTTTTTTTTTTTAGAGTATCTGGAATAGAACTCCTAATCCTGCTCACAGTTCTGATGGATCAGATATCATCAAATTTGTGTTTTAAGTAGTCTTTCATGACCTTGGCAATTGGTAGCTCATCAAGTAGCTTTAGATTCTGAAGGCCTATACATTGTCGAATTTTAATTCGGCACAGGTCCTGCAAGTTTCTGGGCTGTCCTAAAAAAAAGAAAAGAAAGAAAAGGTTACAAAAGTTCCCAAGGCACTGTGGGGGAGAACTGTTCACCTCCCTAGCAGCTCCCTCTGTGAACTCTGTGGACAAAGACGTCCTCCACTGCCTTCACCTGCTGTCCCCTGGCCTTCGCCCGGCCTGCAGCCATGTAGGGAAAGCCTGCGGGAGTGAAGCTTCCCATCACCGGGTGCTGTGGTCCTCCCTCCATCCTGGGTCTAGTTCATGGGCACCTCGACACCTCTGGCAGTCTCTAAGGGACGTCCCAGGTCATAGGTCCACCTGCTCACCTGGACTCTGCTCACCAGGGCCTGCAGGACTCTCCTGGCGGGGGTGGGGGGAAGGGCAGAAGAGAGATAGTCTAGAAATGCAGCTCTAACTATCTGGAAGCTGTCTGGATTTAAGCCTCAAGTCCTGACCACCTGCCAGTCACTGCTTCACTCAAAAGCCACAAAACCGAAGTCTTCCACTTTCAAATACTTGGATGCACAGCCCACAACGTGAACGGAGAGTTCAAGGTCAATGATAATGATGACACCCATGGAATGCTCTTGCCAGGCATTCAGTCCTCTTCCAGGGGAGGGGCCTGGGTCGTCAACCCCTACCCCGGCCCCACCCCACCCAGCAGAAGTGCTCACCCCCAGGGTCAAGCCTTGGGGTGAGTGGAATACTGTCTTTGGGTGGTTCTCAAGCACCCTGGCCTCAAGCTTTCAAAGAACTCAAAAGAACTTGTATGTGGGCTCCATCTTCAGGTGATTACACTACAAGACATTTACCAACTGAATGAAAAATAATAAAAATAACATCACACATTAATAGCTAAGAAAATACACTTTTTTAAAACAAGAAAATTGAGTGGGAATGTCATGTGCACATTCTGCAGTATTTTTGTGTCCTAAGTGATCTTTTTTTAAAAAAATTAATGTTAATGTATTTAATTATTCAATCTGCTGAGATAAAAATTATATCATCTAACTTCTGGAAAATCCCATTTATGCTCACAAGAGAAGGAATGTGAGAAAGGCAGGTAATGTCACAACATTATGAAAGCAAGCTTGACTTCACGTGGGGACGGCAGGTCTCCCCAAGCCACAGCCAGCAGGCTCTGTTGCACTTGGGACACGATCCCTTACTGAGCCGCGTTTGTCTTCAGGATCACTGCTTAAGAGGAAGGGATTATCCAGAAGTGAAACGCAGCTCCTAGAGGCTCAGACCTAGCTGTGCTGTGAGGCACGGCTGAACGCGTGCTTCCTGAATTGCCGCTTGAGGGTGGGAGCTGTGACACAGTGGACTCGGCTGCTGCCCACAGGGCAGGCAGGCGTCCTAGAGAGGAGCACTGGCATGAGGCCCAGCTGCTCAGCTCCAGGTTCAAGTGCCTGCAATGCACTCCGGGAGGCCGCAGACTATGGCACAGGTCCTGGGTCCCTGACACGCATGTGGGAGGCCAGGATGGAGCTCCAGGCGCTTTGCTCCTATCTAGTCCAGTTGAGCCTGTTGAGACCTTTTGGGGAAATCAAACGGGGGTTTGAATTGGTGGGATAGAGCAACTCCTTTCTCTCTGACACTCATTTAAATAATTTTTTTAAATGTATATACTTTTAAAGTCAATTGCAATCTGTTAGCACAAGCAGCTCCTCCTTTGCGTATGTCTGTGCCCAGGACGACACAGGCCTACAACCATGTGTACAAGGATCCCAGCAGGGATGACATATCAGCACCTGTGTCTCCTCCAGCCTACGCATTTCAACATTTCACAGGAGGTTGCCAAGCCAGGTTTCCCACCCAAACACCCTCAAAGCTCCTTTTCTTGACAATGCTAAGAGAAGGCTGGGCTTCGTGGGGATCTGTAGTTTGTGGTACAGAAACATGCCCATCTTCCTCACTCCTGACAGCAAGACCAGTGGAGACCCAATGCCTGGCACGGCACTCCACAGACACCAGATGGACAAGTCATACTTAAAATCCTTGCCCTGATAGTATAAAACGGTCAACTCCTTGCAAAAATGCACTCCTGTCAACAGCAAACTGCTTCCAAACTTGCTTTAAATTCTTTTCCATCACCATGCACAGGCCACCTTTAGGAGGGGATACAGCAATCACTGTTTCCCCAACACCTATGTATGGTATTTGACCTGCACATACTAATCAGAATGTAAATTCAATGTAAATCCACAGTTACCAAAGTAAAAAAATAAATTTTCCCACTCCATGACAGTCTGCTCTTCTCAAGCATCATGTTAATAAAAAGAACCACCAGCAACGTATTTGGGCAAAAACCAGATGAGGGTAAGGCTGACATAAACACATGTACTTGATGAAAATACAAACGAAATTACAGGAATCTGCCTAGCACAAAGAAAAAAGGGACTGAGACCGAGGTATATTCAATGGAGGAGCTCCAGGCAGGCTGTGACTCTGCGGGAGACTGTGCTCCCCAAGGCTCACCCTCCAGCCCTGATCCCTCCCTTCACATGTCTGGGCCGTGCCAGGACCCCTGTTCCTTTCCCTCACAGCTGGGTGCACGTGTGTCTGAGCTGGAAGCAAAGCTATGCAACTTTCAAGGCAAAGTCACAGAAACTGCGGTGGCTTTCCCACGGCTCCTGGGCACTCCCTCTCGCCAACGAGGAAGCCCAGCGGAGGCTACAAAAAGCAGCTGAGATCACGGGCTCACAGTCTTGGCGAGCTCCGGCCAGCTACCTGTACCAACTCACTGGCCGTCAGAGTGGGCCATTCTGAGGAAGAGACAGGATGCGGACCAAGCTGCTCCAGAAAATGCTGGACAGAGCACAGAAGCCATTCTGCAGCACTGGATGACCCAAAAAGAGGCTGGGCCCTGCCAGGTACAGAGCAAGCAGACAACCCAACGGGAAGTACTAGGCCTGGCCACCACCATGGGGTCAGGGCCGAGGGGCACAGTGTTGCTCAGAGCTGGTAGGTTATCAACATTTGGAAGAACAGGAGCCTTGTACCCATGAGTGGGAAATGTGGCAACATCTGCTGAGATGTAAGAAGAGGCCATGTCCTACCAGCCTGATAATCTGGTCCCCAAGACCTCTGCAAGGCAGAAAAAGAAGGAGACGGAAATGAGAGGAGAGCTTCCACTGGAGGGAAGCAGCAGCACCCACAGCCCAGGCCTGTCAGCAGGAGGCTCAGAACCCCCAGGAGCAGAAGGAGAAGATGGCGCTTTCCACATGCTGTCTCAAGACCTCCTCACTGCCCGAATGCTTGACTTAACGTTCTGTTGATATGTCTTCCCCCTTACAAACAGGGTGTCATGGCAGTCCCTCAGGACTTGGGGCAAATGTGGCTTTTAAGTGATTTCCCCTCCTTGGGCCATGCCTTTCTGCAGTATTACTTCTCATAATGCAGGCACAGCCTGGTGTGTTCAGAGCCAGGACCCTGGGGCCAGATGGCCCGCTCTGGCTTCTGGCCCGACCGCTAACCATCTGTTTCATCTTGGGCAAGCACTGTGGCCTCCTGCCTCAGTTTCCTCATAACGGCCACCACCTCAAAGGCTTCCCAAGCAGTCAAATAAAGGTTAATTCTGCCTCCATGCTCAGGGCAGTGCCAGGCACATGGTGAGCCTAACAGCTCAGGATCAAAACATGAATTTTTTTTTTAAGCTATTGCTGAGCAGAGGGCCCAGGCCCCTCTTTAGAAGCTGATGTCTTCCTGGGATAAGGGTGGCTAGAAAGCCAGCAAAGCAGCAAGTGGCAGGCAGTTAGCAGTAACACCCTGGGCAGAGCAAGGGTGGGCACGCTGGGCAACAGGCAGAGCTGGCAGGGCTTGGGCATGTGCAGAAAGGCAGGCTGGAGATGGCCACACTAACTCTCAGACCAGCCATCACCCCACTTGCCATTTCCCGGCCTGTGTGAGTGAACAGCACGTTCAATAGTGAAGAGTGGCAAGGAGTACTCACTGTTAGTGCCAGGATTTTTTAAGGAGTGGTTTGTTTCAGGGATAGTATTTTAGTTCTGACAGATTGTGATTAAGAGAGCAAAGTTCTCATTTTCTGTCAACAGTTCACACACTCCTACTACATGCCTCACAACGCGCTGTTCCAAAGACTGCAGGGGCAGGGGCCACGATGGAGGAAGAGCAGAGGAATGAGTGAATGAGAACAAACACCACTGGGGTCTTATAAAACCACTACCCGACCGTGTTACATAACAGCGGCCCCGTCTGTGGGATGACAACAAAGGCAACCTGGGGAAGCCTCCCCAGGGAGTGGAACTGAAGGAATTATAAACACTTGGGAGAATAGAAACCTACCCGGTATTCATCCCATTGAACTACAATGGAATTATGCAACAGTTCAAAGGATTCTGTCTTGCCAGTCGGCAAAGCAGCCCATCATCAGTAATAATTGGTCTGGGATAAAATAGGAAGTCCGCTTTTGAAGGGTCTGGTCTGGCCTGAATTACAAAACCAGGGCCGGCAGCGGCGGCATCCAGCACGTGAGACATTCCGCAGCATCCTCTTAGCACAGCCTTTACTGCATGTATGACAGACTCAAAGGCCCCAGATGCATATCGGGGACCGGGAGACACACAGCTTGTTGTAAATAATAACAATCCAAGTGAACAAAATGGAAGCAAGAGTTTGAGATTTGTCTCTGGTGGAGGAAGAGGACAGACAATGCAGGTGCAGAGATCACATAGAAGTAAGAGCAAGGCAGAGCCCCACCGTTCCTCCCCGACCCCAACCTGGACTGCCTGACTCAGCCGGCTGCTTTGCCTGCATCGAGCCTCACCCCCGCAGCCCAGTGTCTGGCATGGTCCTCCAAGACCACCTGGCTGCAGCCCAGGCTCCCACTTGGACACGGCCCCATGGACACATCACACCCTTTGCTCCTGCCTCCATCTCTTCACAGGGCCTTGGTATAAGATGCACTGAATGCATTCTGCTTTCCAGGAAGAGCACAGATTCTGGTTTCCCCTAAAGGAAACAGCACAGCTTCTCTGTCTGAAAGCAAATGCACACACTAGCA